TTGAATGTTGTGTTACATTGATTAAATGAGTGAAGGTTTTTCATTGAATTCACCTCAGTTCAAATAACGGAGTTTTGACCAAGAAAAAGGGACTGATAGGTCATTGTTGGTTTATAATAGCGTATATAAGTAGCCCCTCTCATGTTTGGTCATCTTTAGCTGTCACTGAAAAACTTGTTAAAACATATGTAGTCTTATTATTCCTCTATTAAAATGAAAATGGAATAACTTCAGTTACTTGTCGTTTTAGTCATTTTTCTGGTTCTTTCGGATCTTTTATTCCAATACTTTTGTATTGAAAACATTTAGATACCACGAAAACGGTGCTTTAGGGCATGAGAAAAGTTTTCATCCGTTCTTCATCACAGTATGCGATTTGGGCAATGCTAGTATCATGTTTGTTTTATTTGCGAGATTTATTTTGGATTGCCATATCTTTTGTTGTAAATATGACATCATACTCGACGTCATTTCCTATCTATATAATTGACTTATTGACGGGTTTTCTATTTTATATTGAATAATATATTAAAATGCTAACTTTGTACATACTTAGAATGCTTCATTTTATACAAAATATTTTGTTTATCTACATACAAATTTTATGTTTACACAAATTTTACCAAAAATGTCTCCGCCAAATCGTTTCTAGACGTCAATTCTGCCGGGCACAGTTTCAAATTTTCGTGTTTGCCACCGACCTATTAGATTTACATTTTGTTCACCATTATGCATACACATTGTTTTTATCGTCTTTCAAAATAAAATGGTAAAGACGTTTATCGTGTTATTTGCCTTGACACAGATCAAGATGGTCTCCTCCAAAAAGTCATAAAATGAGCCATGTCATGACAAAACCAACATAATGGCTTTGCGACCAGCATGGATCCAGACCAGCCTGCGCATCCACACAGTCTGATCAGGATCCATGCTGTTCGCTTTCAAACCCTATAACAAATAGAGAAACTGATAGCGAACAGCATGGATCCTGATCAGACTGCCCGGATGCGCAGGCTGGTCTGGATCCATGCTGGTCGCAAAGGCATTATGTTGGTTTTGTCATGACACGGCTCAAACGTGTACACATATCTCAGACGATTTAGCAAACATGTAATACAAAGCTGTTTTGACTTGCTGATTTCCTGATTACATGTTAAGAATCTTTATAATACAGGTTAGCTTTATCCGTTTGCCAAGGCCCTTGCAAAGACAATACACAATGTCACCATCTGATGACATGATGGTGTTCTGAACCGGAAACGTCCTAGATCTCGTGCAACACCATTGTCACGTGCAATTAGTAAAACAGTACTTTATTTTTATGTTTACAACATTAAATTAGCATTCCTGAGACACGTGCTTATGCATTGCAGGCAATAGAAGGTTTGCTTGTAATATATTACATTTTGGTACAAATCGGCCAAAGTTGAAATTACATTCATGTATATGAAAAACGGAAGGTCTTTTTCTCACTCATTTTGAGTTGGATACGCAATAGGGGGTAAAATATTGGCGACATTTCTGCAACCACTATAAATTGTCTATGGGTATTGATGTTATAAATGACCTTGTTTAACCCTGAACATGTTTAACCCTTGGCTGTTGGATATCTGAATTGGTCTTGCCCCCAATTTTTGGTGGGGGGGGGGGGCAACCCTTTATTAGTTTTAGTGATATCCGGGCGGAAATTTAAAACATTGCAGAGGTAGGTCATGTCAGACTGCACGGACGTGCAAGCTGGTAAAAAAGTAAACTGTGGTTCTGGCGTACTCAAAGCTTTATTGTTTACCTGCCATTTTACTGAATCAAATCATGTTTTTAATACTTTATATTTATTATTTGATTTATTACTTTTACCCGCAAGATTTTTATTCAGAGAATAAAAGTAAAATACAATGTAAAAGTGGGCATCATCCACAGAAGGCAACCCCCGACATATTAATTGTAATTTGTAATTCTTCTGGAATTAAACATATTTATAATAGCTTTTGTTTATATTATAATATTTATTCTGAGTGCGCATTTACATTTTTTATTATTATTATTATTATTATTATTATTATTATTATTATTATTATTATGAAATAATATTCTTGTACGGAAATAAATCGTAAAGGTTTCGCAGACGACAAATATTTGTATATAGTAGTGTACAATTCATTAAAACATTTTCAATAATACGAAACCCAGTCGCAAAACAACAACAACAACAACAACAACAACAACAACAAAAAGTAGAAACAAAAAGCCAAAAAGCAGACGACAAATTTCATTTCCGGTCAAGATTTTTTTTTATAAAAAACTTTATGGCCGACCCTCATGTTGTCTGTCTAGCAAGGGAAGTTATGGCGGGAAGAAGGAGAAACTTTATCCAGGGGAAGATTATTATCATGCGGGAGATAAAAGTCAGATCGTATATTTGATACGGCATGTAAGATCGGCGGAGGGGCGATCGGCATTGAAGATTATTTAGATACTGTTTCCAAAGAAAGGCTTCAGAGTGTCAGTTGACAAAACAAAACAATGGTTGGAGATATATAGTAGATTGTATCTCTTTCTTTCAAGCTGAGCTCATGTTTATAGAGATGGGGGTTGTCTTTTTAATCTTGGTTCTTGTTTTCCATAAATTCATTCACTTGTGGTTCCGTTTCCGCTTTTCTCCCCAATGTTTTTTTGTTGTTTTTTTTTTTAGATTTTAGATCCTTTTTTTTTTCAATTTTCATAAAGGAATGTTCTGAGGACACAGTATTTTGTGCAGAAATAGTATTAAAAAAATAAACACCAATATATAACACTTTTTCATTAAGAAAAAGGCGGAATATTTTATATAGTTGTTCAAATAATTGTTCAATTTTCTTATTTTCTTTGCAATAGTTTGTCAATAAAATTTCGCTATATATAAAGTTATGACGATATTGTGAAACGGAAACGCTTATTTAGTATAATAAACACACCAACACTGATTCAGATGAAAAATATGACGATTTTTATATAACTGTTCATAACACCTGATTAAACTTGGGTAATTTCAACGATTTTTTATACCTGCATTGTTTTATAAACACTTATCAAAATATACCGGTATATAAAGTAAGTCAATTGCTTTGGTCCCGAATTAATAATAAAATCAGAGCGCTTCATTTGTTTTGTATTTTCAAAAAATGATGTATCCACTTTTTATTAAAGTGTATGTTTTTCAGGACCTTCGGGATTGATTCTTTTAGTGAATTGGTCTACAATGGATATTTTCCCCCTAAGTATTTCAAATATCGATAAAAACAATACAAATATTCATATGAAATATTTCTAGAAATCAGAATAATGAAAGTGTTCTCTGATTTAGAATGAACATTTATATGATCAATAATAATATTTTGTTCTAGAACACTTTATTATCTGCTACATATTTATATGTCATATCACGACAAAACCAACATAGTGCGTTTGCGACCAGCATGGATCCAGACCAGCCTGCGCATCCGCGCAGTCTGATCAAGATCCATGCTGTTCGCTTACCCTATTACAAGTAGAGAAACAGATAGCGAACATCATGGATCCTGATCAGACTGCGCGGATGTGCAGGCTGGTCTGGATCCATGCTGGTCGCAAACGCATTATGTTGGTTTTGTCGTGACGCGGCTCAAATGTCATATCAGATCATGTATCCAACATACCAACAACAACAATATATAGATCGTTTTTGGTTTGTTTCCACGTTTGATTTAAAATAATGTTATGGTACTAGAGATCCTCTATAAAAGACCAATCCGCTTTAAACACAGAATACTATTGAAACCGGTGCTACAGGGCGTGACCGATGTTGTATTTTGTACTTTTATAGTATATCTTGTTACATAGAGTCTACGGTTTTGTTATTTCTCAGTCAGTAGTTTCCACTATCTATGGTTTAAATATAGTTAATTTCTTCTTTGTACACAAACTTTTACAAACTTTTTCTAAAATATCCTACGTATACATATTATAAACTTAATACTGAAATTAATTCACGAAACTTGAAAGTACGCGGTATTCATGCATATTTTCCCGTAGCCTCCTGGTGGCAATAGGATCCACTCATGTGACCAGCGCCGTTCAAAATCAGCCGGCACCACCGTGACCTCTGGTCATCATCTGCACTGTTCGCTATTCGGCCATTACTTATATATTTTATTTTCCCCTAAAATGTTCAGATTTAAGACGGACAATTCCATTTTATTTATTTAGGGCGGCTAGAAATGAAACAAAGGCAGCGCAAACGAGAGTCAAAAATAACATGTTTTGTAAGACTGTTACACCGTTCATATCCCATTAAAGCACACTAGGTGGTACGGAACATTTAGCCGTTTTATGTGGTAAATGGCTCGAGTGGCAGCCGCAACGGTTACGAAAACCAATGAAAATTGGCATGACTTTTATGTTTTAGTCATGTTTTTTTCTTCTTTTTCTTCATTTTTTTTGTATTTGGCAATTCAGTGCTTTCCATGCAATGGTATGTGAACAAGTGCAGTTTACATTCTACTGGTATTGAATACAATAATACGAGTATAAGTTCGAAATATTTGTTGCTATGATGATAGTTACATGTAATAGCCATTTATTTATTTTATTTATTTTTTAAATTGATCTAATGACAACTAAAATTGTTAACTCACAAATTCTGCTTAAGTCGGTGCCATGGGACTTGTACAAATTCTTGGGCGAAACTCATTAGTTAATTCGTTACAACATGTATTTCATTATGAAATAAAGTCAAACTGTACTGAAGTAGAATCGAGTTAACAAAACATTACTTTATTTTGTTAATACGGGTTTCGTCGTTTGTACCTAGTCACTAGTCAAAATCCAAATGTGTATTTTAAGTCATAGTGATGTTAAAAGTATATAGTTTAATAGAACCAGCAAGATGTATTAAAAGTGACATATGATGAAACATTGACGTGACCCTAGTAGGATTCTAACCGCAAGTTCACGTATATTAACCAATGTCCATCATCATTCATTTAAATTCTACATTTTAACACTTTGTCTTTGTGACCTGCTGGGGTCCGTGCCGGTGTTCCTATGTTGCTAGATTTTGTTGGGGGTGGGGGAGTAGGGCTCCGTTCATTAAATGTCGCCTGTAGGATAACACGGTGTTCAATAACTGTAAGAACTATACTGTTCAATAACTGTAAGAACACAGTGTAGATTACGTGGGTGGCTGAGAGAGAACACGTGAATACGGGTGTTCACTTCAACTCTTCACCAAATTACAAAGACACTACGACACCGTCGTAATGGGCAGCTTCACTAAGTTTGGGCAACAAAAAGATGCAATTCACGCGCTATATTTTCCACTTTTATTCCAGAAACAACACATAGTCTAAGGAGTATATAGTGTATCTAACGTATATAGCGTATATAGCGTATATAACGTATACAGCGGTTATCTGAAAGTTAAACAGTTATACTTCCATTAATAACAATTAAAACAACATACAAAGAATGCATACATACTTACAAATAAACAAGTCACATACATAATTCATCCTTAACAAATACTATGGGAATCCTGCTGCTAGTAATGTTAACAAATTAATTAATTGATAGAATTACAGATTATTTACTTTTACATCAAAATTTTAACTAGGATACAGTTTTATCTATCTTAACATAAAATTGTTAATGTATTTACCTTAACAATAATAAATGTAATTATTTTATGAACAAAAATTATTTAAACAATAATTTTCCCGAACGAAGGCAATTAAAAAACAAAAATAAACTTACTGAACAATGGTATCTGTGCCCGAAACTTAATAAATAGAAATTCACAAGATTTGTACTTCACATTCCGAAATCTTATTTTCAACTGCGCCTTGGAAAGGCGGCAAATCTTGCATTTGCATATAATTATTATTTCTAGGGACAGTTTTGACCAACCAAAATGCAGGAAGCGCCCTCTAAGAAAATAAAAGTAAAATTTGATTTTCTAAATATGGGGATCATTAATTACTAGGGAACGCTTAGTCTTGGCAGGGACCAGAGCGCACTAAAATAACACTGCGCTGGACAGTTGGCATGATTTATTGAAATCAAAAACAATTATCTAAACATTTTAAATCGGTCTCTGATAATTAAAACCAGCACCAACATTCGGAGTCTGGAACACCGGCCCTCAATGAACTTTTTTACATAAGTTCATTCTTATATATTAAGGGAAGACGAAGAATTTAATACTCGTTTTGTAATAATCAAAACATTCACAAGTTCTAGAATTTTTTACTAATCTAGATTATGTTACACATATATACACTTTTTTAAATATCGTAACGTCTTAATAGCGAGGCAAACAATGTCGCTCATTAAACGTTAATTCATTGCTGACTATTGTTATCAGTTAGCATGAACGATTTCCTGTTCCAGTACACATAACATCGTAATCGGCCGTACTTTCACGGACCCATTTACCTTGACCTTACATGACCTTACAAGTCCGTCTCTACCTTTGTTTACTTCCAGAACGAGGCCTAATGGCCATTTGCCCCGAGATAATTGCTCGTCGCAGACGAGAACGAGGTCATTTACGGACACATTCCTTTGAATGTTATGCCATTTTTGTCTTACCTGTAAGGTCGGCAGATATTCTCGAACCCACCTTTTCCAGAAAACATTCGCTAGATACTGTACCTGTCGCCACCAGCGTTTACAATAAACATCTCGCTTATCAAATAAACCTGGTGGGAACGAAGCATTTGGTCTCATAATCAAAAGTTTATTTGGGGATAAGGGTTCTGGATCCCTTTGATCACTACTTACCTGGGTAATCGGTCTATCATTGAGAATCTTTTCTATCTCTGTAGCTAAAGTTAACAGAGCCTCATCGTTGAGAAGTTGTTCTCCAATGACTGATTTTATAGCCCTTTTTGTGGACCGTACTAACCGTTCCCAAATACCGCCCATATGACTTGCATATGGAGGATTAAAATGCCATTTCATTTCTTGCTGTTGACATAATTTTGCGAGTCGACTTTGATTAAATTGCCGAATGCTATCACGCAAAACTCTATCTCCAGATACAAAATTTTTCCCATTGTCACTGAATATTTTTTCGGGACGGCCTCTACGACTTACAAACCTTTGCAGTGCACAGATGAAAGAGTCCGTATCTAAGCTATGAGCAATTTCAATGTGCACTGCTCTGGTGGTCAAGCACGTAAATATACAGCCGTATCTTTTCAGATGTCGTCTTCCAGACTTCACAGTCATCGGGCCAAAATAATCGACACCGACATACGTAAACGGTGCCTTATCGGGTGTGAGTCTTTCTTCTGGAAGATCGCACATCTGTTGCAATTCCGGTCGTTGTAACTGTCGTTTGCACGTTATGCACCTACCGATAACAGACTTAACTGTTTGCAGACCATGGATTATCCAATACTTTTGTCGCAACATGGCCAGAATGTGTACTGGACCCATGTGCGCATTCTTTTCATGACAATTTTGTATCAGGATTCTTGTCACGTGATGACTACTCGGCAAGATAATTTGATGCTTAGCATCTACGTGTAGGTCGGACATTGCTAGTCGTCCGCCGACTCGCATTACATTATCCTTCAATATAGGACATAGCCTTTTCAGAGGGCTCGAACTCGGAACTGGCCTCTGAGCCTTTAATTCACTTATTTCGTTTTCAAACGCCTCCGTTTGAACTAATTTGAAGATGGCTGTTTGTGCCATTTTAATTTCCCCCACACTAAGGGGTTTACTACTTACCTTACTGTAAAGACGTCGTCTTTGGGGTAAGTATTTCTCAATTAAGAAACACTTAAAACGTAGTAGCCAAGCGACTGCATTTTGAAGTTTATGCCAGTCGGAGAATTTACTAAGTAACGTATTCGTACTCAAATTATACTTACCATGAGTGTTAAGTACACTAGCCTGAGGTTTGAGCTCTATGTCATACTCATTAACGGTTGCATTACTTACCTGCGCTGGCCACCCTGATTCATTCCTTTTAAGGAATTCGGGGCCATTCAACCATATGTCAAGCTTTTCAGTTTCTTGCGGATTAACTCCCCTTGACGCAATATCAGCAGGGTTACTCTTTGAGGGTACATGCCTCCAGTCATGTGGTGACGTCACCTCATGAATTATTGATAGTCTATTTGCAACGAAAGTCTTAAACCTTTTCGTTTCATTTCTTATGTAACCTAACACAATCATAGAGTCCGTCCAAAAGTACCTTTCAGTAATTTTGACATCAAGCTCCTCTATGACAATCTGATACAGTTTTACAGCAACTACAGCTGCTGCAAGTTCGAGTCTTGGTATCGAAATAGCCCTTATAGGTGCTAACCTAGACTTACCTATAACTAGACTGCACTTACTGTGCCCCTTCGCGTCATACACTTTTAAGTACACGCTCGATCCATAGGCATACTCAGATGAATCACTAAACATATGTAGTTCAGCTTTTCAAGGTCGACCTGTCGAGCTCACCTGGTATTATACATCTATCTATACTTACCTTCGATAGTGCTGGTAGGCTGGCTAGCCACTGCAACCATTTTTTCAGCATCCGCATCTGGAATTTGTTCGTCCCAGCCTAGGTTTGTTCTACAAGCACGTTGTAGAATCAATTTTGGTGTTAATGTCACTGGTGCAACAAGCCCAAGCGGATCATACAATGAACTGGCAACCGACAAGATATTACGTCTTGTCGTACCTTTGTCACGGAGATTTACATCAAACACAAAATGATCATACTTAACATGCCACTGTAACCCAAGTGTTCGCTCACATGACGATTCGTTGTCAAGGTCTATTTTTTCCTTTGACTGAGCTCGATCCGCTTCCGGGATCGAATTCATGACATATTCACAATTAGAGAGCCACTTTGTCAGTCTGAAGCCCCCTAAAGAAAGAAGTTCTTTCATTTCTGCGGCAAGTCTAATTCCCGAACTTGAGTCTAATACTGACTTAAGAAGGTCATCAACGTAGAAATTACGTTCGACCGTACTTACCGCTTCTTGACTGAATTTATCAGTATTTTCATTTGCCGTGCGCTTCAAACAGAAAGCCGCACAACTTGGTGACGAAGTTGCACCAAACAAGTGGACGTTCATACGATACTCCTTTGGTTCCTCGTTCAAGTTACCTTGAGGCCACCAAAGGAATCTTAAAGAATCCCTATCATGCTCACATACTCTTACCTGGTGGAACATGGCTTCTATGTCCGCAACCAATGCTACTGGGGCCTGCCGGAATCGCATAAGTACGCAGTAATACTGTTAGTTAGGTCGGGACCTTGTAAACAGATTGTCATTCAATGATGTGCCTCGATACTTAGCAGCACAGTCAAGGAAAACTCTTACCTTACCCGGCTTCTTTGGGTTCACAACTGGATGATGAGGTAGATACCAAATACGTCCGGGTTCGAATCCCGTTCTGGTATCTAATAAGGAAGCATAACCCTTATCAATATACCCATTCACCGTTTCTTTATACATATCAAATAACTTATTATCTCTTTGAAGTTTTCGCTTCAAATGAGATAGTCTTACCGTAGCCATCTTCACGTTATTTGGAAAGACTTACGTCTGGGTTTCTCCACGGGAGTCCAATTTGTAATGACCGTTTTCCTTTACTACTGTACCTTTCATTACTGAAAGTGTACGACGGTCTTCCTGTGACATCCCTGTGCCACAGCTCTTGACATCTGGGAAGTCGGTTGCCCATAACTTATCGATTTGCAACTGTGTACTAGAAGCAAACTGAAAATTGATACTACCTTGATCATTTGACGATCCATTACATGTGGGTCCTATAATACTCCAGCCTAATATTGACCTAATTGCATAGGGCTCACCTTTATTCCCCCTTCGCTGCTCTTCTACCCAGAATGCGTCTGGGGTGTCGCTTCCCACAAGCAACTCAACTTTGTTTACATCAATTTTCGGTAAATTTGATACCATTAAGGTGTTTCCACTTACCTGTCACAGACTGGTCTGGCAACGACTGCAAGGATATAGGCAGGGTTTTTACAGACCATACCTTTTGAAGGTCAATGGCCTGACCGCCATTTAATGCACTTACCTGTAGTTTAACTTCTTTGCCATTTATATTTTGACCAGACTTGTTCACTGTAGTTAACGTGAACTTACATGGTTTACTTTCAACCCCAAGCCTTTTTACAAGGCTTTCGCTACAAAGCGTTACATCGCTCCCTTCATCAAGGAGAGCGTACGTTTCTACTTGCATAGTTTTCGTTCCGACGACGACAGGAACTATGCGTAAACTTACCTTGTTTTGTTTACACCTCGATTCGGAAGCCGCAACATATTTATCCTCAACATTTGTAAATTTGTTGATTTTACTAGAATCTCGGTGAAACATTGTATTATGTTTCCCGGTACAACCTGAAACCTCACAAAAACTATTTTGCCTACAATTTTCGGCAACATGTTTGAAATACAAACAGTTTTCACACATTTCATGCTCTCTGATAACCTTTAGCTTTGAATCAATATCAATGGAGCGAAACTCTGCGCATGCCCTTAATTTATGGGCCTTTTTACAATAAATACATGATAATCGTCCCCTAGCGGATTTCTCTAAGGGAGATTTACCTGAATTCCTCTTATCAGAGCCAGTGGACAGTGTAACTACTTTATTACGCTGAGAAGGGTTTATGTGGGAATTTCTTTGCGAATTCACTTTTTGTTTTGACTCATTCGCAAGGTCATAACCATACATTGTATTGGCTACAATTGACCGTTCCCTCACGAAGGTTAGAAGATGGTTAAAACTTGGTTCGAGCCCCTGCTCTATCAGGCTACTTGCACGTTCGACCCACTGGGACCGAATGTGAAGTGGAAGTCTCCTAAACTATTTTGCGTAGGTTTTCCGTATTATTCACATCGGACATAAAACCTAGCTGTGTCAAGGTCATATGACATTTCTCCATATGGAGTGACAGGTTCATTAGACCCTTTACGTCATTATTTTTTATGGCACTGCCATTTACTAAACTATCTACATGGGACCGGGCCACTAAATGTGGTTTACCGTACCTAGATTTAAGAATTTCTTTAGCCCTTAAATAGCCTTCGTCCGGAGACAAAATTACACAATCTTCGATACAATATTTTGCTTCACCCTGACACAATTGAATTAAATAATTTAATTTTAATCTATTGTCACTTACCCTAGCCTCGATATTGGTTTCAAAATTGCTGATGAATTTACAATAATCAGCAGGATTCCCACTAAATTTAATCAACTCCGGTTTAGGTAAACCATAAACGTTTTGAGAATAAATTTGTCTTGATGGTATATTATCACAAAGATTTTCACAAATTGTATTGTCAGGTAAGTCCTTCACGTAATTTTCAACTCGAACATCGGTTGCTGGCTCGTCGGGTAAGGATAGCACTCCTCTGTCATCGGAATCTTCTTCTTCAATCTCAGCAAGTTCTAGCTCGTGCCGGGCCGACTGCAGTTCGAGCTCCCGGCGAGCCTCCTCGCTTCTGCGCTCTGTTTCTTGTTTTTCTTTCAGCTGGCGGAGGCGCAGTTCTGCCCTCCGCTTGCGTGAGGCTGTAGAGCTACACGTTACAACGGAATTAGTGGAGCTCGTGTCCTCTTGATTTTTCTTCATATTCGCTTCAGCTTCGTTGCTGGTTACATTACTTGCCATCTTTAGATGATACGGAATATATGTTTACGAATATAATCCAAATAAATACGGTTTAATCCAATTAACTTTCACCTTTTCGTTAATAGATTATGTTCAATAACTGTAGGATAACACGGTGTTCAATAACTGTAAGAACTATACTGTTCAATAACTGTAAGAACACAGTGTAGATTACGTGGGTGGCTGAGAGAGAACACGTGAATACGGGTGTTCACTTCAACTCTTCACCAAATTACAAAGACACTACGACACCGTCGTAATGGGCAGCTTCACTAAGTTTGGGCAACAAAAAGATGCAATTCACGCGCTATATTTTCCACTTTTATTCCAGAAACAACACATAGTCTAAGGAGTATATAGTGTATCTAACGTATATAGCGTATATAGCGTATATAACGTATACAGCGGTTATCTGAAAGTTAAACAGTTATACTTCCATTAATAACAATTAAAACAACATACAAAGAATGCATACATACTTACAAATAAACAAGTCACATACATAATTCATCCTTAACAAATACTATGGGAATCCTGCTGCTAGTAATGTTAACAAATTAATTAATTGATAGAATTACAGATTATTTACTTTTACATCAAAATTTTAACTAGGATACAGTTTTATCTATCTTAACATAAAATTGTTAATGTATTTACCTTAACAATAATAAATGTAATTATTTTATGAACAAAAATTATTTAAACAATAATTTTCCCGAACGAAGGCAATTAAAAAACAAAAATAAACTTACTGAACAATGGTATCTGTGCCCGAAACTTAATAAATAGAAATTCACAAGATTTGTACTTCACATTCCGAAATCTTATTTTCAACTGCGCCTTGGAAAGGCGGCAAATCTTGCATTTGCATATAATTATTATTTCTAGGGACAGTTTTGACCAACCAAAATGCAGGAAGCGCCCTCTAAGAAAATAAAAGTAAAATTTGATTTTCTAAATATGGGGATCATTAATTACTAGGGAACGCTTAGTCTTGGCAGGGACCAGAGCGCACTAAAATAACACTGCGCTGGACAGTTGGCATGATTTATTGAAATCAAAACAATTATCTAAACATTTTAAATCGGTCTCTGATAATTAAAACCAGCACCAACATTCGGAGTCTGGAACATCGCCCTTTCGGGTTGATCTTCGTTCTCTGTTCTTTTCATTCAAGCCTCCTGACACCAGATATTACAGTAAACAATTTTTGGGACCGGGACAGTTTAAGTATCTGACAGTGTATATTTTTACTGAATTGTCAAAACGTTGGATGCTCTGCTTATTTAATCTTATCTTGAATTCCCATAAACAAATTTAACCAAATATGAAAAACAAGATCATCAAGGAAGGGCGGTGTTCAATGAACGTAACCCCGACACGACCCAGCAACACATGACCACCGGCAAAGAGCCAAGTAGGACACCAAACAAAAGAAGAAGAAGGCAGAAGGCAAAGCACGGGCTGGGTGATTACTTTAATAAAGAAAGTATCTAAACTTGCAATATTTTAATATGACCATCCAAGTTACTAGTCTAACCCATAGGAATTAACAATCTCATATTTTCGAATATAAATATTCTACTTGTGTACCGAAGAGAGGAAATTGCACAAGTTATTTACTGGGCCTGTATCAATATTATGGCAAGAGTAAATCTACACACATCGTTATGTGATGTCATCATTCCATTCGCGTCTTTAAGAGCACGAGATTCACGGTCTAATCATTCCATAGTGGCAGATAGTAGAGGGATAGTGAAATACGCGTGGAACAGGTTCATTTACTGAGATAATGATCACTGACATATATTGATTGGCTCCACTGATAGAATGATGGCATTCATTGCTGTTACGTCATGGTCACGTTATCACGTGATGCACATTTCGGAATATTCGTTCTATAAATGTCTTAATGAGCTGTCAATGAACGTCATTAAATTTTTCTCTATCTTTAGATTCGTCAAAATTTTGATAAAGTAATCTCGTCTTTTATTTTGCTATCTTTACTGTTTAGACATTTTACTTCTTGTATAATATTTATGCTTTTTATTGAATAACAGTTCCTCTAACTTTTTATATACTTTTGATCTTTTGCTCTATTTTTTACGTGATCAAACTTGAGTAGTCAGTAACATATCCTTAACACGACGGGAGAGCAGAGAGCTTCTATTGTACTCAGCACTTGTTCATTGTGTCATAACATTATCACTTACAATGCTGCATCAAATGTTTTTAATTCCACTCTCTAAAATTGTACAGATCTTATTTATTTAACAAATCTTCTACACGATCGTTTCGAAGCACTGGGTAAATTTAATATTTAGAATGATATAAATGTCAATGTATAATTGTCAGAGATGTTTTAAATGCTTTAAGTATTATGTTTACGTTATTACAATTAAATAATAACATCAGGTATCTTTACTCATGATAGGCTTAATTTAGTAAGAAAACAGGATAATATTTATAGTATATAGGTTCATTCTGTTAAATATAGAAAAAAATCCCTAAAAAACCCAACAAATATGATAAAAAAGATCATCAAGGAAATGCGGCGTTTAAAGAATGCAACCCCTACACGACCCAGCAACAGGAGCCCAGGAGGACCCCAAACAAAAACAGGACAGGGCAAAATTGAAAATGTGGCAGAATCGGTTTGAATGACCCTGTTTATGGACACTACTTGACAGTGGAAGTTACTGTCCAAGTCCCCTAGCACCGCCTAGACATATTTGACATATGTTTGAACTCTTTTTTCTTTCAAGAATAAAACAACACTGTTCTTTTCTGGATAGTATCTCCATGATGAAAACTCTGATGCACTATGGATAAATAAAAAAACCCCAAAAAAACCAACAATCACCGTCCTGTAAAATAGTTTATTTCATTAATAATCTTATTTCAATACATAAAATGTGACAATTTAATATTTAATTTACATAATAAACAAAATCCAAATATACATAAAAATAACGTACTGCACATTTTGGCAGCCAAGCATATGGTATATCAAAAGTTTCAGAAGTTATTTTTTGGTAAATGTTTTTTATGGTTATAATGTGCAATCATCATGAGTTTGATAGGGACGAAATGGTCAACACATAAATTAAATTTAAAACTGATTAGATTGCAATGTCGAGTAAAGTTTGGTCAGTTATAAATTTAATAAAATGATGAAATGATTTGGGATTTTAAAAAAAACTTTTGACTTAAAAATAAAAACAATATTATCTTATATGGTTTAGTAACTTCATTTTTTTCCAACTATACCACTAAATATTTAACAATGATATTCAATAAACTGATACACTGTATACATTTAAAGGAAAAGTTTTGCATTAGTTCAAACAAAATAGTCAAACTTAGAATTGTTAGTAGGTCGCCCAACACTTCAAAATGAAAATGACGCAGGCTTTGCTTGTTTAAGCGTACCACACAAGCTCCCTAGCACCGGCTTTAGCAAAATTCGAAAATTAACATTAACATTCGTACAATTAAGAAAAACATAGCACCAATGATATCGTTTGCATATTTATATTTCTTAAGACTCTACACTGTTGGCAGTTTAATTTTTATTGCACTTTGTTGTTGAAGCCCTTTATGTTCCAGTATAAGGCAAATCCACTACACAAATACAGTAAGTTAAATGTTATTATTCAAGTAAACTGGATTTGTATGTTTTGTAGATTGGCTTAGATATAAGCTAAAGGCAATAGTGACCAAATATAATCATATTTAACCCATAACCTGATTAAAGACATGAAATAGATTTGACAAGCTTTGCACTTGGAACAGTCCATTTGAACTTTAAAGTGAATTGGTCTATAATGGAAGGTCAGTAATACGATATAAAGACAGTGATAGAATTTAGAACAAATCATAAACGAATTCTATACGAATGATGTTGGCAACTGTGAGACACTTGAACCGAAATAACATTGTATTTTATATTTATATAGTAAATTAAAACTGTTCTAAAACAAAATACTATTATTCATCATATCAATGTCCATACTCAACGTTTTTTCCAAGAATATTTTATAAAATATGTCCAAAAAGATACATTTCTATTGTCGTATATCAAAATTTAATCAATATTTAAAATAATTATGTAAAATGTGCCCATTGTAGACCAAACCACTTTAATGGTTTTTGGAAGATACAAGAATTGCGTTAATAACGGTACAGAATCTAGTTAGCCTTCCTGTATACTGACGGTAAAGAATTATCATCACTTACAGTTTCATTCTGTAATTTAAAAGGTAATTGAGAATGCAGAATCTGATCTCTGAAAAAGCATTCGTGTTGGTTCAAAACCCATCTGGGGGCAAATTTGTGTGTTGTACAATTTTTCAAACAAAATTTCATTAAAAAATATCTTCAATTTTATGTATACTTTTTAGTGTGCAATAAGTGAAAAATATAATAGCTTAACAATTTTAAACGATTATATTTCTAAATTCATGCGGTCAACATTATTTCTTGCACAAATGTATATAATTATTCTAGAAGATATAGCAATGCCTCATCGATAGGTGACAAAATCTGATGGATTTTATGAAACCACCTTTTTTCTATTCAATCAAGACTGACATTTACCATATTTTTTCAGATATTCTTTAATTTGGTATCGAAATATTCTTTTACTAATAAATCATGTTTTTTTTCGATTTATGTAGAGATAATATAAAGAAGTTTAATAATGTATAGATTTTGATGACGGTTTGTACAGTTCTACATGTAATACCATCGGGTTGTAACAGAACCGTGGTTGACATAGTTGCTTCATTTCAGAATCCGAAGTAATGATTACAGTGATACAAAAATTTAATCGGATGGAAGTCACGTGTGATCCTTCAGAATAAGAAGGCACAAATGTGAACAAGTACTCGTGTAAATCATGATTATTGAAAGCGGTGTCAATGGTCGTTGCAAGATCAAATGAAATATCAATTCTAGTTCTCAAATAGACTGAAATACATGTATAGATACCTATGACCGGTAATGATAACAAAAATATATAAAGAAAAATCGAATGGGCGACGTTTTATGGCCGCAACCTAACATAATGCACTATAATTAAAATTTTATGAATAAAGGATATCCGTTCAGGCAGGTCTCATTTTGACTATGTCAGTGGCTTTTCTTGAAAGTAGTAGCAAATTGATATATTTTTGTATAGAAAATAAAATATGATCGCATAAATAACATTTTCGTTTTTTAAGATAATTGTTTTGTTTTAAATTTTGAATACATGTAACATATCCAAGAGGGCATAAAGACATAAACAATAAATACATTTTGAAACATGTTTCTGTTACTTCATAATTTGGTAATCCAATTATTAACTTAAAAGAAAATCATGTACATATATATAATATAATTATATTATGCAAGTGTTGATCTTCTATCACAATCATAAACGTTGCAACTGTTATCTTACGCATATTACTTTCTTATAACAGAATTACATGCATTATAACAAAATATTAATTAATCTAATCAATCTTTGATTTTGCGCATGCGCATACGTTTTATCGACATTTTACAAACATTATTCTTTTATTAATAAGGTAAAATGGTATGAATATGGTGTATTTCATATGGAAAAAAATGTGTTATGTTTTTGAATCCCTTCAATAAAAAAAAATGTTGGCGGAAAAAGTTTTTTGAAATGAAGAGAGAAAAGGTAAAGAATTGCGTGCATTCTCGTTTTAAAAATTTACATTTATATTTCTTTAAAAATAATACATGGTATTATAAACATTATAAAAAAGGTGCATATAAAATGTTTTGAAAAAAAAATTCCTCCAAATTATATTAATGAACCGTATATTCTTCAGTCATTTACATTACACATCATTCTAAAACACGTTGCGCCCGTATTTTGTGAACCGTCCAAAATAATCTCTTAAAATCTAAGCAATAATGGCTTTACTCCAAGATGATTCTACCTTCAGATATAAATTTATGATAACATTATATGAATAAATAAATTCATATAGATAATGTAAGAACAGTTTAAGACATAAGGCGAATTATCAAAATGGTATAAAACACAGTTTTATATATATATCACATTTTGTGGTTATTTATTTTATTGACAGTATGCTGCAGGAAGACTTTAAAAGCTTTGGGAAGGAAAAGCCGACCTAAATCCTTTCTGCACCAAACTATCAAAATTTCATAATAATTCTACCACGTGAAAATGCTGATTATAAATTTCAGTAAAATAATTGTGCTAACACGCTGCGCTTCTGCATATGCGTAGCACATTTCAGGCACATATAACCACATGGTTGTTTCGATGTTTCATATTTTGCATAGCAGCAGCAAATCTGATTTGCTATTGTAGATATTCTCACATACTCTACACATTAAAGACTTTTTAGTCATTTCTCTCAAATACCCTTTTCGCCATTTTCCTCACATTTATGTTATCCAAAACAACACATTTGCTACTTATTAATAATTCTTGTCCACCCGATCTCTTTTACACTGATAGCGTTTGCTACGCATATATTATTATGTCATCAACGCTTAGGAAGCATTAATGTTACGTCATCAATGTTACGTCATCAATTGCTTACTAGGTAGCACCAAAATTACGCATTTTGTTATCTAACACAAAACGTGGTGCCTGTTGTCTTTCACTCACTCTCATTTTCTCATATTTATATCAGGAATTATATTAATGCTCGTAAGGATCTAATCGCTGTGTCATTTGCCCATATGGATTGTTTTGCATGACGTTGTATTCTTGCGCTTTAAGTCTAAGAGACGCTATGCTGCCCATACCAGGAGGTGGACTGTAACTGTGGTTCATAACGGCACAACTTGAAGTGTTCACGTTGAGATTGTTATACGAGGTAGGATTTGGCCATCCCATATAGTCTGTATTCATTGGGGGTCCTCGTGGGGTAACTGGTTGTTCTATTGGCATTGCGTCAGGAGGGCGCGCGTACATATTTCCCATTGGGCCTCGCTGTGTTAACATATTTCTTTCGTTTCGACGGAATTTCGCTCTTCTGTTCTGGAACCATACCTGTCAACAAGATAAAAAAATATCTAGATGTATTGTATCCAAATTTATTTGCTCTTCAAGATATATTACATAATATTATATATCAAATTGTTTAAGTCTTTACTATTGACAGGGGCATAATATTATATGTTGTTTTTTTAAATAAAGGTAAACGTTACACATAGGACATTTAACTAAAAGTTAATATATATCTTTTCACTAATACAAAATATATATATCAGTCAGCTCTTTTCATTTGTTTTCATTAGAAAATAATTGGTATAGTCTACGTCTATTTGATTTTGCAAAAAGACTTCTCGTTTTGAGTAAAATATAGCGCACATTTTTGGAGTCGAGACATGCAGTGTATAGAGCATATTAATAGTCATGCATGCTGAAAGAATTGGACATCAAGAAAATAAATCATGCGATGTCAAACGATATTGCACTCAAACAAGTCAACTAATTTAGTTATAACATAGAAAAAAATTTAAAGGAAAAGACGTTGATTTATATACTCCGGACTACTAATTTTCATGACGTCATTTGATCTATTGACGTCGTAGTTGACAACTGTCAATTACATTCGAGCATAAATTGTAATAACACAATTATATTCAAAAGTGCAACCTCTGCAGGGCGACCCTTCCTCTTTACAACAACAGTCTTATTTTATTTTTCAATTAGACTTCACAACAGATTTAACCTGTCTAGAGCAACACCTCTCATCGACGACCAAAATCTAAACTTCCGAAAGAGCGGTGCTCTGCAAAAGTTGTACTGATTTTTTTAACAAATAGAAGACACGATAAAGTGAAAAACATACAAACTGGAATAAATAAAATTCATGAAAAGTCTTTTTCGAGTAATTTACCTGCACCCGGGCTTCACTTAAATTTACACGCCTTGCCAACTCCTCCCGCACAAATGCGTCCGGATAATGTGTTCGTTCAAATACTCGTTCTAGTGCCGCTAATTGTGTACTGTTGAAAGTAGTCCTATTCCTACGCTGTTTTCGTCTGCGTTTACTATCTTTGTCATCTTTGTCGTCTTCAGGTCCTGAAAATATCAGAAATTTCTGTGTATCAACTAGGTTAAAATAGAATACCATGGCCTACTGATTATGATATCTGCCACTGAAGACAGGGGTCTTGCATCCGAGCCCTAATTAGGTCACAACAATGTTTCCTCACGTGGCAACAGTACTGTTTAGTTTCATGGAAAGATTTTGGTTATGAAAAGTTGTTATAATTTTTTATCACAATGGGGCTGAAATTAATATGTTTCAAAAAAACTACCATGGATATCAAAAATATGGAAAAAGCCATATATCCTAACTGCAAATGCAAGCACTCAATATGTATTAATACATTTTATCCACGAATAATTTGAGGGTATTTGAAGACAAGAATTACGATTACTTCATTTTGATCATAAAATGTTCCACACAGTTTTGTATAGCTTTGTACAACGGTATATATATATAGCCCATGGAATTAATGAGATATACAGCATTCGAATTCCGTGCAGTTTTCGCCTAATATAAATTGGTATAATATTTATAAATCCCGATGAAGGCCATTGTTTAAAACCTGCCAATAATCTAGTAAATTGTGTTTTTAGGTCCCTTAAACATTGAGTTGTTCTTTTACATCCCTTTCCCTTTCAAGCCACAAGAAACACGCATGTTTATTGCAGGCATAAAAAGGATAAAAATAACCCCCCAAAAAGTATATAAATACTAGTAAAATAAGATAATATAATTATGGAATCTAAAGGTAATTTTTGAAAGAGACCGATACAATGGCATAATCCTTCAATGTAAAACATAACAACAACACCGAAAAACAATCAAACTATGATATCAAGCGTTGAAGAAAAAAAACTATTAAATATAATCAAATTTGATATAAACGTCTTTTGTAGAATATTTTCAAAAAACTAAACGAGACGTTTTGAACCCTTCGTGGATAAAAATCCATAGTTAAACAAGCCAATTTTAAGATAAAGGCAAAGAAAAAGAGTGACTGTCAAAACAAAGGATCATAAGTGCAAATATAATAAACTGAAGTGCATTTCTCTGGTGAATTGAAGATCTTTCAAAGCATTAATGATGCTTTTTATCATCTTTACGAAAGAAACTTGAAGAAAATACAAACATTTTAATTTACACAAACGTGAATAAAGTGTATCGTTCAAAATGTATTGATATATTATGATATTTGTTGTTAAATAAATCAACATATTTCTCTTAAAACACAATTGCCTTAAACCAGGGGCTTAAGCATTTTGTCGTAAATCTTGAACAACATGGTTTTCTTTAAACCTCTTTCAAGAGGAGCGAACTGATGTATTGTTAAAAGATCATGAAGACCGAAGATACACAATGAGTTCAAGAACGAAGATCTGTTTCACCACCATATGTTCCTGAGAGCTTTTGAGAGTTCTTCAAGTGGAAAGTCTATACCAAAACGTAAAAACTGGCTTTGATTTTCTGTGGTGTAGAAAACGGTTAACCGAACGACAGTCAAAACACTTTTAGTTAATGATGTACTTTATTACTTGGAATGAGACAGAATAGCATAGAATATGTTCATAAACTTAACCCCCTTTCGTCATAACTCATTTTACCCTTCGCAAGAATTTCCAAAACCGTCTTCGGGTAGTTTGTCTTTGGAATAGATCAGTTATCGAAAAGAGGCCATGTCGTGAAACGAAATGTTCCAGGTAAGTTTATTACTTCTTTTCGTTTTTGATGTTTCTTATTGAAAAGAGCAATTTGTACACAGGTCACCTAATTGTACACAGGTCACCACTTTGTACACAGGTCACCAATTTGTACACAGGTTCCCTATTGTAACAGCAGGTCACCTATTTGTACACAGGTAACCACTTTGTACACAGGTCACCTATTGGTACACAAGTAACAACTTTGTACACAGGTCACCTATTTGTACACAGGTAACAAATTTGTACACAGATCACCAATTTGTACCCAGGTCACCAATTTGAACACAGATCACCTATTTGTACACAGGTCACCAATTTGTACACAGGTCACCAATTTGTACACCGGTCGTCTATTTGTACCACTTTGCGACGAAATAGAAGGTTTTTCTCCCACAATTAACCATTGCTATATACGTATAGACATTTGTTATATTTTTGTGTTACTCAATTGTCTTTAAATTTTCGTTCTTAATCCTAATCATACCGTCACATTTGATTGATTCTTTTATCTATAGTCTCCTCTATACATTTATCTTTAAATTGTATAAAAGACACTGATATTTTGGGGGGGGGGGGAAATCAAAACAGTAGAGAGTTTTGCAAACAATAAACCACTGCAACTTTCAACTTTAAAATAACATTTAAAATTTACGCAAATGTATATATTTATTATTATCATTTAATATTATTAGGTGTTGAAATTTTGCTACTTTGTTTTCAAAAAATAAAATGGAGAATTTGAGTCTGATCATTTGTTTATATTTTAACACGCTCACACAAGACGCACCAGATGACCGCCATAAGGCCTAGACCTGGAGAGAAAAAAGCAGTCAATGATATATGGCTTAGATTAATGATAGGCATTTTAACAAGCGCCTAGTGGAGGTAATCATAATTACATGTTTGCGTTTTATTGACACAAGTGTTACCAAAATGATGAAAACCCCTGTCACTACAACAGCACCGGTTCTGAACGTGCATGTTCAAATCAAAGATTCTTTAGAGACTGTTTTTGCACGTTTGGACGCCATTGTCAAAATTGCATGTCGGGATAACATGTATTCAGACGCCATATTGGCTAGGTTGAAAATGAAAACGTGGTGCAGTAAGTGTAGGGCTATAAATTTTACTGCCGTCTATAGACAATCTTAAATGTTTTCATCAAAGTCTATGTTTTTGTATCGGCTGCTAGAATTAGATTTGTTTTGACATACTTCAAAATACGAATTATCCGACTAATGTGCCCAAGTTTTGTTACAAATCGTGTAAAATATGCATTGTGTCTGCTTTCATACCGTCAATAAAACGTAAGTATTTGCACGTCTGTTTACGCTGTTATAGAACCGTCGTTATAAAACTAACGTAACAGGGACTACTGTCTAATATCGTAGCAGAAAATTAAAACGTGTTTGTAATGTGTCATTTTTTCCCCCAGATTATTTTTACAAAAATATTTACTTATATATATACTAACATCCCCATCTGTTTTGTTATCCTTTAGATATTTTATAATTTTACTGCGATAATTGACTTTGATAAACTAGCGCAAATTTTCTAAGATACGTTGAAATATCAATATCTGGCGATTTGCACGCACATTATTTTTGTGAACGATTGGTACGCTTTAACGCGACTTTTATAGAGAGTATTTGTTTCCTTTTTTCGGACTCCTCGTTCACAAAAATAATGTTTACAATACAGACTAAATCACACGCAATGTTAGCAGCTCTTAAACGTACAATAGTATGTATAAAGAGACACAGAATATATATCACATAATTATCACAAAGTAAAATGCTATATTAAAGAGTGATCTGGTTTAGTATAAAATCTATACTTTATTTATTAATACTGAAATATTAACAGCGAGTTTACAAAATTATGGATAAGCTTTCTACTAAAGAAAATTTGTTTTTGAAGCTACCCATTGATGTTCAGTGGTGAAGTACAGATATGTAATTTTCTACATTTGTTCAACATTTAAAGCTGCATGATGAGCAGAAATATTTCAAGAAAATCAACGAAAAATTTAAGAAATTTTAGAGTATTCACAATTAAAGAAATATCTTACATGTTGTATACAATAAATGACTGATTTTGCAGTATCTATTATCATATTTCTAATGCGTTACTAACGCAGTAAAGCATATTTTTCCATGTTCTGATATATTTTTTGTAGTTTTCGCAGATTTAAAGTGTCATTTGCAATGAGTAAATTACTTTCACCTGACAATGTTTTACTTTTTAATTCGTTTTAATTTCTTTCATAAAAATTAGCATGAATCTGACTGCTTTTAAAGTACATTATACACACATCACAAACTTAAGCTAATTATTCTTACCCTGATGAGCCCGAAAATGATTGGATTTTGCCATCAGTTTAAAGCCAGGCCAGCCTGCAGCACATCCACGCAGACTGACCAGGCTCTTCACTGTTGTCCGGCCAACTTCAAATTTTTCATCTTAACATCCCCAGAATTAAAATGGATAGTTCCAAAAAAGAGGGATCTGGACAAATCCATTTAAGAAATTCAGCAGTTTGAAGGTCTATGAAAAATGCTGATTTGAATGGAGACATTGAAGGAGTACATCCACGCAGTCCGACCAGGCTCTTCACTGTTGTCCGATCAACTTCAAATGTTTCATCTTAACATCCCCAGAATTAAAATGGATATTTCCAAATGAAGGATCTGGACAAGTCCGTTTAAGAAATTCAGCAGTTTAAATGTCTATGAAAAATGCTGATTTGAATGGAGACATTGAAGGAGCTCAGTTGAGGTTAAAAAATCTGATTAAAATCAACTCCTAATTAACAATACGCATAAGGATCTGACGACCACCAATAGGAGGTCACCTTCTCGTGACCTTTCAAACACCCAAATCAGCTCTAATGAGGTTTAAAAGTCTAAAATTAAAAACAATTAAAAATGTTTACATAGATATTTAAAGTGAAGCACTTAAAACGGGATACTATAGAAATTACCTAAGAATTAAATTGGAAAATTGATAAAAGCCCGGTTTGCACGCTTGTGGGTTTTGAGTCTTTTGCACCATAAAAATGTTAGTCTGGAAAAACCAAATGAGGTAATGATCTGAAAATTTGCACACTAGTTATTGGTTAAGACCTACATCAAATTCTTCACAAATCTCTGGAAAATATCTCCACTCATGTCAATAACCCCAAATGGAGTATATTTGAACTTTTAATATACATGTAGTCAATTTAACCTGTATGAAAAATTAGCGGTAGAGAGCGTTTTATGTTATATTTTTAATCATGAACTTTGCATACTTGTTTAATCCCCGCATTTATTATTTCTTGACTACTG